ATTTATTTATTGGAACTGGGGATTGAACTCAGGCCCTTGTGCTTGCAAGACAGGCAGCAGAACCACTGAGCCAAATCCCTGGCCCTAGAAGTCTTTTTAAAATAATAGGTGGGATTAAACATTCATCAGGAAAGTTCTAAATTAAATGATTCAGCATAATGTACTGGGATTGGACAAGAAATCTTAATTACTCTTTTATTTCATTGATAAATTCAAGGTAAAACATGTTTTCTAAAATACAATGTGGAAAATTTTAATTAAGGAACTCATTTAGAGTTTGATCAAACAGATGTGTTTATTTTTAAAGATTATTTATAAAAATATCCCTGTAAAAAAAAAGTGAAAGGATAAAGATTTTGTTTGGGGGAATTGAAGAACAATTTGGTCTTTCTTTAGTTTCAATAGTATAATAACTTTTGTCCTCTTAGGATGCAGAAGTATTCCAGCAGCACTTTTTAAGGGACCTACCTCTATGTAGAACTTAAATGCCTTCAAACAGAATAGAAAAGTAAAATGGTTTGCTTCTCTTCCTTTAGAGTCATCACTATTGGCTGTGTGTTGCTAACATTATTCAACCCTTTAAAAATTTTCCCCTTGAGAAAAGTGTGTTCATATATAATCACAGAATCTACTAACACACATTTGCATAGTAGTGTAAGGTCACATAATTCTTTTACCAACTGTGTAAAGTTGGCTAACAATTCCCAGATCTTCAAAGCTTAACGTTAGAAAATTAAAGGCTTAGTGCAGCCCTCCTGGGGCATGGGGAGCCTGCTGTTCTGAGCAGACATTTAGGGAAGAGATTTCTTTCACCTATTACTCCACTGTGCTGTAGAGCCACCAAATTCTGTCTCCTGGGTGCAGATGGAAGGGGAGTGGAGAGAGAACTTGAACATAGGCTGAGGTAGATTTGGAAGGAGACTATAACACTTCCCCTGGATGGAAATCAATCTCATGGATCCTCCTAACTGCAGAGGCTGCTGAAGAATGTCATCTGGGGTCTCCAGGAGGAGAGGAAATGAGGTATCATTTCTAAGAGTTATACCTGTGGAGACGAAACCCTTATCATATCTGATTGTCACTATGAGGAACCTATGGCATGCATCTCATTGTTTTTCTTTTAAGATAAAAGATGTTGATGTAGAATTGTTTTTCTAAACTAAAACCTTAGAATTCAGGTTTGAGGCACTTGGTCTCTACATGGCTCACCATCATAGCTCATGGTTGACAGATATATTATCAATGATTGACTTTCTCCCTTGACAGAATTCTGATTTCAGCACAGATCTGGACAAGGCCAGTATGAAGCTGTGAGAAAACGATAACCCTGTGTTCTGGAAAGGTAGCTGCAGAGCCGGTCACATAGCTGTCCTACTCAGACTACCCTCCTGGTCTTCCAAGCAATTGTGATCCTCTATTGTCTTTGTGACTGTATTCCACTGCAATCACAGCCAGTTCACAGGAAGATGTAATTAGCGTCATCTGCAAGTTCATCTCCACTATCATATGGAATGAGCCACAGGAGGAAAAAGTCACAAGAAAGTGAGGCACCTGAGACACGCACACATATGAGAAGTTTGTGACCGAACTAATACTCTAGTCATAAAATACACAACTTGAAATTTGGTTTGAATATCAGATCCTGAATAATGCTGGCCACATTTTTACTGGAAGACATTAGGAGAAGGTGGCACAAAGAGAGTGTCATAGAGCTTGGAAGTAGCAACAAGTCTTAAAAACCCAGACTAGACCATAAAACACGGGCCAGACCACACTTGATCCCATATCACATGGGCTTTCACTTTCTTACTCCTTAGCATTAGAAGTAGAAGGATGGTGATACTCTTTCAAGACTTTTGCTTTTAATTACCTATAAAAAAAGAAATGGTTTCTCACACCTTACCTCTTACTTGGCACAAATCTTCTAAAGTTATCTTTAAATTGACATAAAATCTTCTAAAGATTGTTCATCTCACTTAACTTGATCGCATACCTAGTCATTTTAATTAGAATAATTTAATGTTGGGTGTCAGAAAACAGATCTAACATAAACATCAGTTAAAATGCAAAACAAAAAATAAAAAAATAGAGTTCCAGACATTTACAAGTGTTATTTTAAAGGAACCATAAAATTGAAGCAGTTTGATCTGAAACAAATGAAGACATCCAAGAATTTTAACAGTGCACAGATTATTTGGACTGTTGGTTGGCAGAATAGACATTAAATCAGCATAGCTCTTCATTTACAGCTCTTTAAACAGAGGATGTTCCAAGAATGTCAAATAGCACATGCTCCACAGTAGCTTTTTTCTATCCAGCTCATGACAATTACTTTGTTTCTGCGGCTACAGCCCATTATTCATACATGTAAAATTTAGAGATTAATGTAAATCAAATTAAAAATTTCCTCTTACTAGAGCTGTAATTTTGCATTGCATGGATTTTAATTACTCATACTTTTCAAAATCATAGGCAGGTGATTTGATCAAGACACTACTATTTCAGGAAGTTTACTCTTCTGTTCTAGGATCCTACCTAGAGGTAGCTCATTCTCCAGAAAGAAATCACATTACCCACTCCACAGAATTAAAACACATGTTCAAGCCATTCAATGAGTCAAGTTCCACTTGTTATTGAGAATTGCTGGAACTCTGCATAACTTTAAGTGGTCAGCCTACAAAAATTTGGTAATTGCGTTATAGCTGGTTTGTGCAATGATAAAAATATGGTGATTATTTAAATTTAAAAATAATTCAATTCCCGGTACCAAAAGCAAAACAAAACAATAAATTTAAAAGTATTAAGTAAAAGACATGTTGCCATTAATTCCCCTCAAAATATCCCCCTTGCTTTCAATGCCACATCCTATCACTTTTATCAAGTTCTGAAGCAGTTGTGAAAGTCCTCTTTCTTGAGAGTGGTTAGTTGTGCTGTCATGGCTGTGTCCTGAATCAATTCAAAATGTTCATCTTTCATGGTCATTTTGACTTTGGGGAAGAGCCAGAAGTCACACAGTGCCACATCCTGAGAATAAGGACACACACTATAATATTTTTACCAGTCTGCTTCTCTGTTGAGTAATACTCAGCAGCAGTCACTGTATTTTTTATTTTCCCTCTTAAAGACATTCATGAAAGAGGGCTTTCAGAATTGCTTTAGAAAATGGCAAAAATCATGGGATTAAGTGTGTGAAAGGGGGGGTAGTATTTTGAAGAAAATTGATGGCAGTGTGTCTTTTAATATAATATATTTTTTAAAATTTACATTAGTTCCCTGTGTATTTTGACCATATAACATATAGGTGATATGTAGTGTTGTTTCCATTTTTCTACTTTGGGGAAGGTTTTCTGAGAACTGTGCAAAAGCAGGAAGAATGATGATTAGGAGTTACCCGATTTACTACAAAAGTTTAAGATACTAGGTTAGTTCACTTTTTTGGATCTCAGTAGTTTCTATTTTGACATGAAACAATACTTACATGATACAAAGTCCCTTCTAGACACATATTTTTATGAAATAGAATATCCAGTTGATTATGTTGCAGTTTCATAATTAGCCTCAGAAATGAGACAGGTAATTCATTGATAAGAGGAATGAAAATCAGGCAAAATGTCTTTTCAAATTGATTGCTAAGTACAAAAGTCATACAACTAAGCCTCATATTCAGCTATTTGTTTTTGCACATTCTTTCAGAGATTTTTATTAATGCTCTTTTTTGGTTGTTAACTTCATTTGATATTCAAGAAATTTTAGAAATCAATGTCGTTTTACTGGGATTGTTCACTGATGTGCCCACAAGCCCTTGAGGCAGCACTCTGTTCTTGGAAGGTTCTCAAACTGCACGTGTGTGAATGAGTGGCTGGAACATTTCTTGAGGGAGGAGGGTTTCAGTCTTTCTAAATTTAAAAATGAAGCACATCTTATGGTACAGCAAAAAGCCTTCAGGTAAGATAACAACATCACGCTTAAAGACATGAAGTAGGGTGAAAATTTTTTTGTCTCATACAAGAAAGGCACCTTATAGGTATCAGCATCTAAGTGTTGATTGCTTTTCCTAATAATTCTAACAACATCATACACCATCAGGTTCTGCCTTCTTTTTGTAGATGAGGGTAAGATGTCTTATTTGATAGATGCAGAGGCAGAATAAAATTGGTGCATATTAAACGGCCTCAGTGATAAGAAAAGTGACTAAGACAAATTTTGAAGCCAGAAAAATGGGGTCATTGTTGTAACTGACTAGTTTAGAGGCATTTGAAACTGATTTATATGAATAATTTTTGAGATGCCGGCTGGACAAGCAGCTCTAGAATGCTGTAAGCTGAGCTTGAAGAGAGATTTCAGTGAGAGTTCAGAAGACAAGAATACAGATAGAAATGCAGATGTTAAGGCCAGGCTCAGGAGGTTTCCATTGGAAATACGGACTTAATAGGCAGTTGGACTCAAGACTGTGTGTTGTGTTCTGGCAGAAAAGATTCTACTCATGTTCTGAGACTTTGTAGGAGGTTGAGATTGAGAGCAGTGGAGTAATTAATTTGGCAGAGGAAATTTCAAGGAAGCCCAAAATTCAGGCTGTGATATGGGTACTGCTGGCTGGCTTTTAACCAGGTTTATACTGAAAATCAAGAGCAAATAGCCCACTTAAGAAAAGTTTTCAGTTTTTTTCCAGAAAGGGCCTATGATGTTTTGGCTTAGGAGGGCTTGGTTGCTGAAAAGATTACCATTGAAAAGAAGACAAGTACTCTACATCAGGAAAATAGAAAGCATACCAAGAAAGCAACTGAGGAATCAGTAAAACCTCTACTTTCCCAGGCTAAGAAGTTTAAAAATTGAAAGACTCTGCTTTGAGAAGAGAGCCCCAGGGTATCCTGATTCAGAGTGGCTGCACAGAGAATGGGTTCCTCAGGATTTGGTTCACAGAGCTTAGCCCTCTAGGCACTCAGAAGCCTTTGCAGCTAGCATTCAAGGTACCCCAACTCCAGATCAAACTTGTGGCAGACCTTGACGTCATCTGTATGGTCCTGGTTTTAGAGGTGTGCAGAATGCAGGAGTTGCTGAGTCAGGAAACCTTCCACCCAGATTTTAGAAGACAGCCTGGAAGATGGTGTGACCCTGAAATGGCAGTACATGAAACTGTGAGATTAAAGCCCAAAGGGCAGTGGACACAAGAATTGGAGAAGCCAGGAATGTGGAACTCTGGAGGAAAGCCACAGACTTCGAGGAAACTGTCTCAAGAAAGAGGCTGTGCAAGCAGCAACTGGCAATGCCAGAAGCTGCTCAAGCTGTTGGGAGTTCACATTTTTGTCCCAGGTGCTGGATACAGAGCTAAAAGATTTAATGTTTGCCTTGCTGGGTTTAAATCTTGCTTTTTTTCTCATTGCTTTTTATCTCCCTATCCTCTCTTTTGGAATTGTGCCGTTATATGTTGAAAGTGTTTAATTTTGTTTTTTATTTTTGTTGGAGCTCACTGCTAAGATTTTGCCTTCAGTCTCAGAGTAGACTTTGGATTCAGTAATGCTAGAACTGTTAAGATTTTAGCAACTCAGAGTTGGACAAATGCAGTTTGCATTAAGAAATGCACATGAGTCTTTGGGAGCACAGGAGAGATGTTATGGTTTATATCAAGAATGTTAAAGAAACAATGTGAGAAAAGGAAAAAATGGAAACAAATCTTTGTAAATAGGAAAAGGTTAAGGGGGTGAAGGGAGGGCAGGGTATGAGGGAAAACTAAGAACCAAGACATATCATGTAAAGGTACAACAACCCAATGGGAAATGTAACTATTGTTTGCTTTAAATGTACCAATAAACCTAACAGGGGGGGAAAAAAAAGGTACAGGAAGACTAAAATTCAAAGAATAAAAAAAATTTGTCAAAGGAAAAAAAAAAGAATGTTTCCCAAAGGCCTTATGTGGTTTTAGGCAGAGGTTTTGGAAGGGACACAACTGACTTACTGTTAGGAGGTGGGGTTTGGCTGGAAGAGGCGGGTAATTTTGGGTGTGACCTGGAATGGTATCTCTCCTTTCCTGGCTCCTCACTTCTCTCTCTCCTTCCTAGCCATCACGATACAGTATCTTTTCCTATGCCAGACCCTTTTACCGTGGAAGCAGCTGACTCTGAGTTGATAGCTCTAAAAACTATGAGCTAAAATAAACCATCTTCAAGTTGCAGGTGTCAGGTAATGTGTCTTAGTGCTGAGGAAACTAAGACAAGAATGGAGGACAAGGATATCATCTTGTTGTAAGGGCTGAGCTAGATGACTACACGATACGGCATTTTTAACAGCAGTAAAGTAGAGTATAGTAAGTAAAGTAAGGGCAGTAAGAGCATAGGCAAAACAACTCACAAAAATCTCAGAATGATACATGAATAAAATAGAGAAGACCCAAGAAATTTCTGAACTAGGTGAATTTCCTACGGTTTTTCCCCTGCAATTTTAAAAGATAAGATGAATGGACTAATTTGATAAGATTTATCTGTCCTTTGGATAAATGCTCTAAGAAGTTATCTGCAATGATAAATATTCAAAGATAGATGGTAATGTTTTAGATAGAAGTGAACAGAAGAAAGTTGTTGTGGATTTCCATTGTTATAATTCTATTAATTACTTTCATAGTCTTATGTTACTATTACTTCAAAATATCACTTTTTGAAAAAAATCCAATAATTACTGTTAATATTCTAGGTTATTAGTAGCTATCAATTGAGGTCAAATCTTCAACTTGTGTAAAATACTCAATGCCACAGTACTTTGATATTCTTTTGTGGAAATTTTCTGTTTGCCACTTCAGGTTGGCTCACTGAAATGGTCGATACTCACCAGTAGAACAGCATAGGAGATTCCAACAGCTGCCATTTTTATTTGATTTATTCGACATATTCTCATTTCCCATCCATGCTTAGATTTCCAACTTCAGGTTTAACTTTCATATTGGAAACAACTTTTATATATTACATAATTTTATATGTTACTGAATATATTTGATATATTATTGAAATATATTTTATATTTTACTGCATTAGAAATGCCTTAACTTTTTCATGGTTTGGCCAAATATAAGGAAGGAATATACTGGGAAATTAACAAAATGAAACTATGTCTGTGTAATACTTCTCTACTTTTTTTACTGTTTTTACAAGAAGAATACTGGCCCTGAAAAAATATCCCCAAAGAGCTGAGATGCTTTTCACAAATACAGTTTCCTGAACATAGACAGAAAAATGAAAATGCATATGCATTAAAGTGAGAATTTTTCTCTCTTTAGTTGTATAGAGATATTTTCATTTGAAAACATTGACATTGTTAAAATAAACAAACCCTGTTGTTAAATTCAAGAATATAAATGACAGAAGCAGAAAAACTATTATTATATTTTAATAATTTGTCACCATAGTAGTAAAGCAAAATAGATTTTACTTTATTCATTTATTTATTCTTGTACTGGGGATTGAACTCAGGTTCTTGAACTTGCAAGGAAGGCAGCAGAACCTCTGAGATAAATCCCCGGCAAAATATATTTCACTTTAAATGATTGCTGTTTCAGTCACATAATAAAAGTTAATAGATATAATACCAAACATAGGTTTAATTTACATACACATGCGCATATATACATATATGTTGGTTTGTGGAGAAAAACATAGCTTTTATGTTAAAATGGTGTATTTCTTTGGAATATAGTTGAGGAAGCAAATTTTAAATATTTTCCTTAATGTTTAACTCCTTCCATGCACCAAAGCAAACATTTGAACATATGTTAAAATACTGGAATTCATAGCTGCAATAAGCAGTGTCTTTATTCATTGAGAAATCTTATTTTAGTATCCCTCTGTTAAACTATTTTTGGATGTTTCTCTTGAAAATTTGTACTGAAAGCTCATCTTTTCTCTATAGTCACATTCATCTTTCATAGATCATTTCAGAAATAGTAGTCCATGATATTTAAATAATAGCATATGCAACAATTATCTTCATCCTCCATGGGTGATTTACATATACTAAGGATGATAAATAACTATCATTCCAAATATATTCTTCCTAAAGAACAAAGTCCATCACATAAATGTACTTATATTTAGAGAGTAGAAACATAATGATTTTTTATTTACTTGTTTTTGGATAAATTGTACTTCTTCAGTCTTTATTATCGATATGAGAGACTATCTAGGCATAATGAAATGTTTCTACTGATTTTTTACCCTTGTAATTGATCTTCACAATCATTTCATTGAGTTCAAATGTAGAAGGCGTTTTGTCATTTACAGCTGATTCTTAAAATTATAGATTTTGTTCTAAATGCTTCCTGCACCTTTCAGAGATCTGGTTACAGTTTTAATTACATGGCTACTTGGATAATTACCTTTTGATTACTGGGCTTCCTCTGAACTGTAAACTCCATGACAGTAGAAAGATTGTTCCAATAACTGTCACAGAGTTCAAGGCAGTACTGAGACGATCTCTATAAGTGATTTCTTATTAAATGACATAAAGATCAATGAAGCTATCAATGTTAGTATTTCATATCACACTAATCAAAGTTAGATTTACTATAATTATAGTAAAAATTCAATGAATGGGAACTTAATACTTTCTTAGACTACGACTCTCTCCTGTGAATTGTTTTTTACTGATCATTATAGCTTGGTGTATTAAACACTCTGTTCTACTTATTAATTTAAGATTAATCATATGCATGAATCAAAAAGGCAGTAAATTAAAAGCTGGCTGGTAAAACCAAGTAATGTTGTACGTGACCACAGATAATTGTTTTTCATTTCTTAAGCAAATATCACTTTTCCTGAAGGCAATATTATAGGATCTTTTTATGATGCTTAAGTCATTTGTTTCTTAATATTATATATGGAGCTTGTAATTTTAACAGCTACACACTGACAATAGTTCACTTGCTAAACAAACTTAACATTTAGCATTTGTCCCTACAATCATCACATAAACACATAAATGCAATGAAGCAAATGGTTTGTGATTACTGTTAATACCATGTATTAACAGTAATGTCAGAGAATCTGAAAAAAAGAAAAAAGGGTTCTTTGAGGTAAAAAGCAAGGCTGACATTGGATTTCTGTTCTATGGCCAGTACAGTGAGCCACACCCTTCCCTTACTAATGAGTATGGAAATGTTGCCAACTCTGCCTTTTTTCTCTTTTTAATCTTGGAAAACACAAGGCTATTGATGCCTAAACTTGATGCACTGAATTTATCTCCACTAGTTCACAGGGTCTTTTTTCCCCGGTGCTTAAAACCTGGAAAAGAGATAGAACAGTTGCTATATGATTGGGGAATTTGGTAGATGAAAAGTTTACATGCAAAGCTCATTTATTTTGGCACGTTAACTGTGATTGTAAGGCATTAGACTGGAAAGCAGAGCGAAAGAACTCAAAGAGGATATTAATGAGAAATCGTAGGCCAGAATGCTGCATTCACCTTTTAACAAGAGGGGATACCAGAGATGTGTGTAAGTCAAACTGAAGAGCAGTGACTAAGTTGATGTGAAGAAAAGTTTCAATGCTTGTCTAAGATTCTAAAATGGAGTAACTGAGTAATATAACTAACAAGATACAGCCTTGGGGAGGAAAAGCAAGTTGGGATCTGGAAGATGGTGGGTTTTAGAAGTATTGAGTTTGAGGTACTCAGAAGGCATTCAAATAAGCTACTTGGAAAAGAGAGGGATCAGGGACACAAGCTTGGGGATTATCATGAAGGAAGAAATGTGAACTCAGGGAAGACTGGAGATTAAGACAAGAGCGACAGAACCCAAGGAAATAACTTTAAGGTTAAGAAGAAAATAAGGCACCTGTAAGTGGCATTCAGTGTGTGTAATCAGAGACACTGAAGGAAAATCAGGAGCCTCCAGTGTTATAGGAGGCAAAGAGGAAAAGATTTTAATGAAGGTCATGGAGTCAACAGTGTCTAATGCCCGGAATCTAAAAATGTTTTCTCCTCATTCACTTCCAAATATTATTTCTGTTAATTATGTAATATTTGGCCTGTCTAATAACAATGATATCAGGAAATTCAGAGTTATGTGTTATTAGAATTGCATGATTTCTTACACTTTGTTTATTATTTATCTTTAAAATACTTGCCTATAC